CCAAGTAAACTCTCTTTTCAGCCCCTCAACCAGTCTGCTCTTTCCTCACGTACCTACATGTACAATTATGCCGACTTCTATTAAACAGACAAATTTTCAAGCTAATTTCCAACCCTGTAGAGGCCATTTCTTAAATCGACACACATCCCGGGATTTATCAGAGTCTGTATGCATATTGGAAAACAAGGAAGAAAACAATCTGTTTCCTAAAGATTCGCGCGTTAAGATTCAAATGGCATTTCATACATATTTCTTCTAGCCTGCTTAAAATATTAAACGTTAAAAATGGCAGAAGGGACCATTGACCACATCTAATATCAACGATTTTTTTCCGACAGGAAGTTGACTAATCTGGAGCAGAAGTTGATGCGAAGATACGTGCCGAATGAGTCAGTTGCTCAGAAAAGGTTCCAGGCCGACCAGGAAGCCTTGCGGTCCATACCAACGGAGGCACCCGGCTGGGTCTACAACCAAACCGCCGCGGATATGTTTCGGTAAGAGTTACATTCGATGGGCCTCATTCATTACCTCCATGAAAAATGGAGGTATTGTTTTTGGCGGCGTCTGTCTGTGTGTCTGTGTGTGTGTCTGTGTGTGTGTCTGTGTGTGTTTCCGCAACTTTGTAGTCAGCATAACTTCATAACGCCTTTATGGATTGTGATGATATTTGGTATGCTGATAAGTCTTAGGAAGACAAATGTCAAGGTCAAATATGGGCCTCCTGGTGGATGACCTTGGTACTGCAGCAGAACTTCCTGTTTTTGTATCTTTTGTCCTGAACATGCTATGGTCTTGAATTTTTGGTGACAGATAGCTTTTCCTGTCAGAAATAAGTGGTGTGGGTTTGGTCCCCCTAGCAGCTTGTTCAGGAACTGCAGGGGACTTTCGGGCGAAATATTTTAAAGCCAATAAGTCCAGATAGGAACAGCGTATTTTCATCATTTTTGGTGTGTAGGTATCTGACAGAGAGATGTACATAATTAACTGCAAATTATGCAAATAAGGACTTTATTTGCACAATTAATGAGGAAATTCTATAATTACAGTGTTTTACATTATAGAACTTTTATACATGTAATGTATGTAACCTATGGCAGATGGAACATCAACAGATACTAATTATGCAAATGGTGACCTAATTTGCATAATTAATGCAAAAAATATATGATTTCTCAATGGTGAATGATGGGAATGTCATACTTGGGACATCTTTAAGTTAATCAAAAGTTAACATCACGATGCATATATTATGTTAATGCAGAGGTCATTTGCGTAATTAACATTTACATATCAAGCCCATATTTCATGGAGGTATGAGATCTCGGAACTCTTGTTGAGTGTTTGCAGTCACGTGATTATGACGTCATTTAGCGACCGCCATGTTGGAGGGTTGGAAAATAAACGAAACTGTTTCTTTTCCCATGTAATTATTTCTATCACACCGGTTTTTGCCCTCAATGCACACTTCGGAATTCGGGTATGACCTTAGGTATCTGTACAATTGAAAACGTGAGGTCACTAAGTTTGAGACATTTAACCACGCCTCTTTTGACCTCTCCTGTAACCTTCCGTGTGCCCCCCACCCACCCACCCGTTATGCACAACGTCAAGTAATAAGCCTTACTACTAGAGTTTCCTAGTAAACAGTATAGTAGTACCATTAAAATTCTTGACACACGCGACATTTGTTTGCTCTCCCACTTTCCGAATTCGCTCATCAGTTCTCAGTGTGACGTATTTCGTTCATGTTACCTGTCTATAACGTTAAATAAATAAATAAAAAGTCCATATAACGCCAGAAAAAGTCACTCAAGCAACTGGATATAATTTTGGAAATTTGACGATTTTTCAGTTACCTGAGTAACTGTTTTTTACGTATCTTATTACCTGGATGTCTAACCTTCAACGACGTAGCACATATAAACGTTACATGAATCGACAACAGGATTATGAGGTTATATATGTGCCAAACCAATAAATTGAAAATAAACAGGACTATGATGTTCCATATGGTCCTAACTTAGAGATGTAGAACATCAAGTTTTTAATGGTCTGACCAATGGACAGTTTGCTACAAGCATTATTTAGTCAGGCCTATAACTTCTGTTAGACTATACGTTTGAAGTAGTATGAAATGAATGCTTCTCTTCAATTTTAACAGGAATAAAACAATCAGCAGTCGATTCGGAAACGGTAATTTCATGGTCACGCAAGAGAACACACCTGTGAACTCTACCCTCAAGACGTATTTTAGAAAACCCAAGACGATCAAAGTAGATTCGAAAAACATTTTTCGATTTCTGAAGGTGGGTGTGAAGCAATTACATTATAGTTGCCTTAATTATTTTTGCATTTGCAAACAAATATTACATATAAATAA